CCATCACTCCCTCCCTCCCTGCCTCCCTCCCTGCCTCCCTCCCTCTCTCCCTCCCTCCTTCCATCAATTCATTTATCCATGTATCCACCCATTCATTACACAAATAATCTTTTTCTAATTTATTGATTTTTTTATTATTTTCCAACAGCTCGTAATTACTCTGACCGTGTCTTAGCTTTTCTCCTGGCCAAGCTTGAAGCTAATAATGAGAAAATTAGGATTGGAACCCTTCTTATCATGAAACATCTAATCAACAGTTCTGGTAATTATCCAGGATCAATAGATCTTTTTCTGTTTGCAACGTAAACATAAGCACGCGGAAATGATTAAAGTAAATTCTAAAATAACTAAATAAATGCCATCTCGAAATTTATGTCCCCTAAAGCACCCCACAATGCACTGCAATGCCAACTTAACCCAACTTTTTTCCTTAAACCTTGGAATGGCTTATAGTTTGGGTCAACAAGCATAAAACTAGTTACTTTGGCCGACCAATGATAAAGTGTGTAAGAACGAATTGGCATAGCTATGTAATCGGGCAGCCTGCTAGGGGTCCATAACAAGGAATTTTGTGCTGATTAGCAGACCGTCTTAACTAGTGTTAAAGTCGGGCTGCCTGCAGACTTGGATGAAACACCACAGTGGCTAGAGGCGTCACATCAGGACACCTTTATATGTTTATTTATTCGTTCGTTCGTTCGTTCATTCATTTATTTATTCAATGATTTCAGGTACGTATCTTGAAAATAAGGAGGATTTGATTGTATCAGGGGTGCAGATTCTGTTGGCAGACCACAACCTAAAGGTATGAGAGAAAAATTAAATTAACTATTTCCCGTCCTTGTTCTATATTCAACCTTCAAATGTTATTGAACCCTAAAACAACCTCTGGGCTGATCTAAGTCAGGGCATGGCTAACCCACAGATCAAACCCTGAAACAACCTCTGGGCTGATCTAAGTCAGGGCATGGCTAACCCACAGATCAAACCCTGAAACAACCTCTGGGCTGATCTAAGTTAGGGCATAGCTAACCCACAGATCAAATTCTGAAACAACCGCCTCTGGGCTGATCTAAGTCAGGGCA